CAACACCCCTGCCCCACACGAAACAACCCCCCCCAGCCACCACCCCAGTCCCCCTAGAAACAACCCTCCGCCGCCCACCCCACAGAAACAAACACTCCTTCCCCTGCGGGCCACACAGTGAGCCCACCTACTCACCCCCCACGGGCCGCACAAAGAGCCCACACGGGCCGCATGTTGTGCAGGCCTGCTCTATAAGCAAGTTTTTGGACCTTTTAAGCAGAGTTATTTAAACAATCCTCTTCACATTTTTGGTTTAATCAGGAGTAACTCACATTTGTAACAAGTGTGGATCTTCAGCGTGTGAGAGGCACCTACCCCATTAGTTTGCTTGATTAATCTCACCCATGCCCAGCTAATGCTGTGCTCTGTTTTATGTAGGGGTGAGAATGAGATTTTTCTAATCATGCAGTACATAATGGGGAGGTTGTCCATGAAATAGTGCCTTTAATTTCCTCTTCAATGGTAAGATGTCCTTGCAAGAGAAAAGAGGCCCAGCATTGACCGTTGGTCAGCCTGCTGTTGGGTAAGAAGAATCTGGTACCTAATTCTGTTTCCTTCTGTGTGCTTTGGGGTGGGGAGCAGTGTTAGATTTACATGTACTCTTAATATATGTTGGGACAAAGTTTTAATTTTGTGCATCAATATAAGTAACTAAATTCTATGCACAGTCTTTCTGGTGATGGTGCAGAGGGCAATTTAATATACATTTTATTAAAATGGAGAAGTGAAAAAGATCTCATACCAGATCAGTTGTCCATATAATCTGGCTGCTCTTTTTAAACCTGGCAAAACTGGAATGCACAAGAGAAACTGAAGTAGTAGTTTCTAATCAGTTATAACATGAAGATTATCCCTGTCGTTTTGAAGTGGGCGCTGATAACTCCACACTAGCTACCACACGTTGGTAAAACACTTAAACTACCATGGATGGAAGTGAGGAATACACTTTTAATACTATGAAAAAGGTCTTCTCTTGGAACAGTTAACAACTGTGTTCTTTAATTTCAATCATAGCGTTAAATCATAAATAAAGCTACTTAGAATGCTCTACTTTCCTGTCTAGCCTATACCGAGATGGTGCGTAGTTATAAAACTTAAACACACTGCTTCAGATGAATAATCAGATACCAGGTTGGTGAGCGAATGGATAAAACCAAAGTAGGAACAAAGTGTCATGCTGTACATCAAACTACGGATTTTTAAATAACATTTATTTAACGCAAGGAGTGCTGAAGGTACTACATTATCTTGATCGTATTTGTACAGTAACTAGCTGACTGACTACTAGTACTCCTAATGCTTTTGAAACCATTACACTCCCTAATCTTAGTTGTACAGCAGATAAAATGTGGTTTCATGAACAATAAATGGTGTTTTTTGTTTTGTTTTGTTTTTTCAATTTGTCAGTCATCCAGTTGGCACAGCATTGCAACCCCCCTTGTAACCCAATGACTGGAAGTTCTTTTGGTTGGTAGACTGATTGTTGTTACAAAGTTAGTGGACAGACCTGTAGATAACAAGATTCCAGCTCTTTGAGGAGTCCGGTAAAGTGGACATTCATAATGCATTAGTTCTCTTTGTTCCTCATCTGGACATGTGTGTCTTGTTTGGATAATCTAAAAATTATAATCCAGACACAAGAGAATTGTTTAATAGCAGGTACATAGTTAAACCAAATGAAAATGTACTCCAACCATTTTTGGCTAGTGAGAATAGGACTAGATCCCCTATGTTAACTAGGGAAAAGGCAGGGTAGTTTCTAAGTCAGGGATCAGTTCCAGTTCTTACTCATGCAAAATTTCCACTGAGCACAGTGCATTTTACCCAAGTACGAACTACAGGAAGAGGCCATTGGTATTTCCATGGGCAGCCCAAAGTGATGGCATAAAAGTTAGATTTGTTTGTAGATGGCATAGCCAACAGATAGCTAACTTCTGATGTGGGTTTTGCTCTCACCTGTTGTGGTAAAAACACTATTTCAGGGAGTGGATAAAATCTGTCATGAAGAAAGGGTTCTTCCAGCACATGTGTAGTAGGACTCCATCGTGCACCATCTATATATAAACCAAAAACTAGAACACCATTTTCAGGTGGGGAAGGTCCCTAAGATTAGAGAGAGACAAATACTCAGATTATGTATCGTGAGGTAGAGAACAAGACTTTGCTTTTCAGCAACCTTAAGAATGCTGTTAAAGAATCGGGCATGAAGTGTTTTCACATGTATTGGTAATGCTCAGGTACCTATCATTTAATGAAACAACATCACATGCTAAAAGGGATAGATTAGTCTTGAGTACTCTCATTTTAAAGGTCAGACTCCATATCACAGTAACTTTTTAAAGGAATGAGTAAAGGATAAAGTAACAGACACTATTGCTAAGGAATTTCCCTCCCTTTTTGTACATCTGGCCCTGTACACCTAGAGCAAGTGAAAATTCTCCAGCCTTCCAGCTGCATGGTGGTTGGCAGCCTGAAGATGGCATACTCTAAACAAAAACTGTACCCACCACTCCTTTTCATTTAAAGGAAACTGGAAGCCAACTCCAGAAGTGGTGGATATAGTCCAGCATGAAGAAGGAAACCAAGTTCAAGTAGGAAGGAAGTCCAGGGTTATTTATTTTATTTTTTTAAGGTATGTGAAAGCAGAGGGGAGCAGGGTGTTTGTGCACAGCTTGATAGTTCCAAGTCACAACAGTAACTCTATATAAACAACATAGTAGCAGTTTCTGTAGCTGCTTGTTCTTGTTTTAAAGGGGACTATAAGGTCTTTAGGGAAGGGATTGTCTCTGTGTTTTCATGATGCTATCACGATGGGGCCCCTAGGGCATTACTACAAGGTAGGGCTGTCAAGTGATTAAAAAAATTAATTGCACTGTTAAACAAGAAACCATTTATTTAAATCATTTTGGATGTTTGCTACATTTTCAAATATATTGATTTCACTTACAACACCGAATACAAAGTGTACAATGCTCACTTTATATTTATTTTTTATTACAAATATTCACACTGTAAAAAAATAAAAGAAATAGTATTTTTCAATTCACCTAATACAAGTACAGTAGTTCAATCTCTTTATCATGAAAGTTGAACTATATACAAAAAAACCTGCATTCAAAAATAAAACAATGTAAAACTTTAGAGCTTACAAGTCCACTCAGTCCTACTTCAGCCAATTGCTCAGACAAAGAAGTTTGTTTGCATGAGATAATGTTGCCCGGTCACAATATCACCTGAAAGTGAGAACAGGTGTTTGCATGGCACTGTTGTAGCCGGCATCGCAAGATATTTATGTGCCAGATGCACTAAAGATTCATATGTCCATGCTTCAACCATCGTTCAAGAGGACACGCTGATAATTGGTTATGGTCGATAACCATCCAAAGCAGTGCGTACTGACGCATGTTCATTTTCATCATCTGAGTCAGTCAGATACCACCAGCAGAAGGTTGATTTTCTTTTTTGGTGGTTCGGGTTCTGTAGTTTCTGTATCGGAGTGTTGCTCTTTTAAGACTTCTGAAAGCATGCTCCACACCTCATCCCTGTCAGATTTTGGAAGGCACTTCAGATTCTTACACCTTGGGTCAAATGCTGTAGCTATCTTTAGAAATCTCACATTGGTACCTTCTTTGTGTTTTGTCAAATCTGCAGTGAAAATGTTCTTAAAACGAACAACATGTGCCAGGTCATCTTCTGAGACTGCTATAACATGAAATATATGGCAGAATGTGGGTAAAACAGACTAGGAGACGTACAATTCTCCCCCCCCCCCCCCCGCAGGAATTTAGTTACAAATTTAATTAATGCATTTTTTTTAAATTTTTTTAAAGAGCATGGAAGCATCTCCTCTGGAATGGTGGCCAAAGCATGAAAGGGCAAACAAATGTTTAGCATATCTGGCATGTAAACACCTTGCAATGCTGGCTACAAAAGTGTCATGCCAATGCCTGTTCTCACTTTCAGGTGACGTTGTAAACAAGAAGCAGGCAGCAGTATCTCCTGTAAATGTAAACAAACTTGTTTGTCTTAGCGATTGGCTGAATAAGAAGTAGGACAAGTGGACTTGTAGGCTCTATATTGTTTTGTTTTTGAGTCATTCCTGTAACAAAAAAAATCTACATTTGTAAGTTGCACTTTCACGATAAAGAGATTGTACTACAGTACTTGTATGAGGGGAATTGAAAAATACTATTTTGTTTTAAAGTGCAAATATTTGTAATAAAAATAATATAAAGTGAACACTATACACTTTGTAATCTGTGTTGTAATTGAAATCAATATATTTGAAAATGTAGAAAAATATCCAAAAATATTCAATACATTTCAATTGGTATTCTATTGTTTAACAGTGCAATTAAGTGTGATTAATTCTGTTAACTGCAATTACCTATTACAAGGTAGTCCCTTGTTAGAGCTGCCAATTTAGGGTTTAGTACATAAGACAAAACACTTTTTCAGTACACTTGTTCTCAATAAATTGCAATGTATGTTGCTCTAGTACTCATTGATCCTTACCCACTTACAACCTGAATACTGATATCTACGCCCCTCTATCCAAGACAGTCAATAGGTGCCCTCCCTTAATTTCCTTGCCTTCTGGTTCTCATGGCTGCATTTCCATTCTCAATGGTGTTGGTGTCTGCTCTCAGAAATGCACTCCCAATTGCTGGCCTGGCCTCAATGTGAGGGTCCAGCTGGGACAGAGTAGGGGAGTGTGGGCATGTTCTGTATATACTGGGGTTAAGATCCTTTCAGTCTTGTACGCTGCCTGCTGAGAGCCCTCTCTGTATAGATACTAGCAATAGTCAATTTTCTAAGGATGAGTTGGAAATAAACAAATGAAAAAGTTTTATTTCTGATTTTCTGGTCATGAATTGTAACCACCAAAATGGGACAGAGGGCAGGGTGGTATTTTCTAGTTCGCTACAGATTCAAAGCATCATGGTGTTTGACTCAAGTTTTAAGAATATGATTATAAGGTTAGTGGTATAGGAACAATTTAAAACAAAGCAAGGACAACTTACATATTGGGGGCAGGGGGCGGAGAATGAAACTGGTGGAGCAATAGCCTGCAGGCAGTGCAGACGTGTGTTAAAAAAACAAAACAAACCTGTTTTAGAATGACCTTGGTTCCTGCCATTTACAGTTTGGCGTCTAGCTGCCATTACAGCCCTTACCTTAAATGCGGTTTGTATTATATTTTGTTTTCTTTTGACTTCTCTGAGGTTGCAGTCTTCAGCGTGGATTGTAGGAAGCAGTCTATGGCCAAAAGTTAGAGAATCCACCGAGATTCCATTTTGACGAGCATAGTTCTGCAGCACAGCAGTAAGAAACCCTGCAGGAATAAAATACACAACAATCTAGTATCAAAACACTAAGTGTATTTAAGACCAGAACCGAGTTTACTCTGAGGCCACATTTGCTATGCATTCCCAAACTCAAAATGCTCTGAAAACTGGCATCACATCATCCCATGATCGTCATCTCAGTGACTTTCAATCTAAAGTTATTCTGTAATGTAAATATGTTGTACTGACAAGTATAGTCTCTCCCTCCTCCCCCCCCCCCACCCGGAATTTGAAAGTCAAGGTGTTTTTTTTTTCCTAGTTCATGTATCAAAAGTAAAGATTTTTTTAACAATTAAAACTTGTTAATAATACATGATCCAGAACAGAATCCAGCTCAGTACTAGGGCTGTGCTCTCTGTAAGAGTTAAAAAAAAATAACAAAATTTTAATTTAGGTTAAATGCAGAACGGAACTTAGGCATCACCATACCTAATTTTTAAGGACCCTGCCACTGTGCTGAATCATCATCTCTAAGGTGGCCATCCAGGCGCTCTATATAAAACAGGGAAGCTAGCCACTAAGAAATACTGAGGAGAGGATTGGGACTTAGGCAGGGCCTAGTGTCAGCTTGGGCTTCACACCCATGAACCCATGCCTGGATTTAGGGCTGACCTGGCTTAGGTGCCTTTCTCAACGCTACCCTGATTCAGGCAGATGGGGATTTCATTGTGGGGGAGTGTACTAATAAGTTGGATACAGACATGCACAAACCATTGAGCCAGGAAAATTCTCATTCCTAGCTGTTGTTTGTTGGGGCCCGCCTAGTTTGAGAATCCCACCAGGGCTTGGGCACAAGCAGCTTGGCAGATTGTGCCCATCAGCACAAATTTTAGGTGCCTTGGGAACTCCGCTAGCAGAAACTTTGAGTGGGGGGGGAGGGGTTCTGAGGCTCTCGGTGGTGCCTAAATGTTGGCTGTAGGGGCCTAAAGTGGCAGTCAGGCACCTAAGCCCCTTTGTGGAGCTAACCCATAGCTTCTTACTTAGCTGATCAGCTCCTTGGGCACATTTGGAATCAGCTCTTTTTACTTAGTGACAAAGTCACAATGCACCATATGCACCTAACTGCCACTTTAAGCTCAACATTTAGCTCCTCAAACCCCCTGTTCAGCCTCTGCCTAACTCTATAGGCATGTAATGTCCTCTTGGCACCCACAAAGCTGTTTAAGTCCCGTTGATGCAGTGCTGAAGCTGGAGCCCCGCTGCCCAGGGCTGAACTGAAGTCGTGGAGCTCTCATAATGTCACAGAATTTGTGACAGATTCGTTGCCTTATGCAGATGGCTGCAGATGCCAATAGGTGGCAGAGGACACCTAAACATTAGGCATTGCAATGCTGATGCTAAGTCTCCCTTTTTGGATCTAGCCCTATGTTTTTACATAATGAATTCACTGATTAGAATTATGATGTTTTAAATTATGAGGATACCACAGTGACTAAACCTCTTAAGATCCACACCTCATTTCTTTGCGAGAGTTCCAACGCACATAAGTCACATAATGCTAGACACTCCATCTAAAACCACAGCTATCAACACAGAGCAGTTGCAAGTTCAGTTCATTTTTATAATGAGGCCTTTTGAAATAATGTATTAACAATTTCTTAAAATCCAATGGGGCACTTATTTCAACCCCTTAAACCAGTGGTCCCCAACCTTTTCCGTGTGGCGGGCGACTGTCTGAGGACCATGGCCGCCGGACAAGCAGCTGCCGAAATGCCACTGAAAATCGGTGGCATTTCGGTGGCAGCGCTTCTTGACGTTGCCGCTTCTCGGGGACCCCTGCCTTAAACCTTCCTCCCACAGTCAATGTTTTGTACAGTCATTTTAAACTTCAATTTGTGTTAGGGGCACGGGTGCAGTATGCAGTAAGAAAAAGTGCTGGTGCCATAATACTACAGTTTAATAAACAAATAGCCCTGACTTTTGTTGGCAGTTAATTCAGTTTTGGATGGCACCATGAGAGGGCATCATTTAATCAGTAAATGAAAAATGACAAAGGTTATATGGCTAAGCTGTGCAATACCATTTTGGAAGCATAAAAATATAAAGTACATGCAGAAAGAGAATCAGCATGGATAGCCAATATTGCTATATAATCCGCAGCCTTATTTTTATGATCTATATAATGTGTGCAGCTTTTGGACGGCCTTCAAAAGAATCTTTGCTGAAAAATAACACTGTAATCCAGGTAGATTTAAGGAAGCATCAGCTGGCCAACTTTTTCCAAAATAATGTCTTCTGATTTAATCATTAATGAGGCAAGCAGCGTTGAAAGTAGGTGGTCAGCCAAAAATCAAGATATAAATTAAATCAAAACTAAGTATTAACTGAATACGGATTGGGAAACAGCCCAAGTTTTGGTATGATTTTCTGCAAAAACAGAAGAGAAATTGCCCCCAAAAGGAAGAACCTTTGCCTGCCTCTAAGACATGAAACTCCCCCATCCCCCAGTACCAAGACAGAGAGCGCAGAAGATTTGAGAAGAAAAAATTACAAATCACTATTCATTATTGATGACTGCTTATTTACTAGTGTACCTTGTGGGAAAAAAAACCCTGAAAGCCAGAAGCGACTAGGATTTCCCTGAATGCTGTTGGTGGATATGTTGGGTCTATCGCCAGTCGGTGATGAAAATGAAATCCCAGATGTTTTGGCTTGTTTCTGAAGCATCATTAAGCTGTTATACCTGTTTTTAAAAATAGGGTAATAAATGCTTAAGCAGGTTTTTTTAACTCCCCACCCCCCTCAAACCTCCCTCCCTCCCCCAAACCCTAGCTCACTTGTTTGAAAACAAAATCTATCTTCATCATTATTCTTAAAGGCCTAGGAATTCCCTAGCAAATTTTCTAAACGTCTTTAGATAAAACACATAATAATTAGCAAATTAATGTCTGAATGCAACCAGCAAGATCACAACAAATCATATTATTAATAAATGCTATTTAGGCGCAGACAACGGTGATTTAAAATTGTCTCTTTGGTAATCTCTTGTGACTGATTAAATATGATACAATGTATTTTATTCAAACAACACTATTCAATTCATCTATGTGAGAGAAAGCTAGTTACCTCAAAGTGATGCCAGAACCTTTCATCTTAAATATATAAGGTAGGAGCCAAAATTTGCTCTCCTTATTTATATGAATAATTTCATTGGTAAATAGCTGCTCATGTGACAAAGTCAAGAAGGATTTAACTACAGATGTCTAGTAACCTAAAGTGACAATGCAATGGCTATTATTTACATGAAATGAGATGGTGCTCTCAGTCCAGTACTGGATATGTGCCTAGATCACAAAACCATCACCACCACTTGCTACTAGTCTGAGCAGGGGGACAATATATTGCATAGCCAGGGAGACTGAACTTTTGCTTCATTGCTAGAGGTGGACCTTGCAGAAACTTTGCATTTTTCCTGCCTATACTGTACCTGTTCTCTAACTAAACAGAGGACTTCATTCTCTGGAGCTGACAATCCATCACCTTTCAAAATCAGTGAATATTCAATAAAATTTAAGAAAAAAAAATCATGGTCAAACCAAGTATTGACTGGCTGTGATGTTAAAGAGAATTGTCCGTAAGGGTCACTCTTCAAGCAAAATGGATCATGTAAGAATTTCTTAAAAAAGAATAAGATATATCTAATGTTTAAAAATCTTTACACGTAAACAATGCTCAGGCTTTCTGTGGTGTTTAGTATGAAGACTCTTAAACTTCCACACACAGAGGACTGCACCCTCTATTCAAGAAGTGGGGGTGGAGCTGAGGGGGGGGGGCTGCTGACATATTACTGTGGCTCTTTGGCAATGTACATTGGTAAATTCTGGCTCCTTCTCAGGCTCAGGTTGGCCACGCATGTCTTAGACTGTATGCTCTTTGGGGTAGGAACTGTCTTTTTGTTGTGTTTGTACAGCGCCTATCACAATGGGGTCCTGGCCCATGACTGGGGCTCCTAAGCACTATAACAACACAAATAATAATAAATTAATAATACAGCATAACCACCCTTTGTGCCCTTCTGAATCCAGGCTGCTCTAGAGAGTGGGGGGGGGGCTATCTAAATTATGGCAGCAGCACTACCCCGAATCTTCATAACACTATATGCTGTGGCCCAACCCTGACACACTCCTCATGCCCCCAGTCATGCCTCCTATGCTAGGGGGGTCCTCAGGAGGAAAGCCTGTGGGGGTCCATCTCACCCAAAGTATTTGGTTTAGAGTTTCAGCTGGAATTTTAATTTGATTATGGTTTTCCCCTTTACTTCTACTTTATTTTGTCATGTTTCACTTTTACCTTAATTGTATACAGCTGATGACCTGGTTTGCCCAGATTGCAAAGAAATTCACTCGTAGAATAAGGTCATCAATCCATGATCCCAAAGACTTATTTGACATATAGGAATATAGCTGTTGCAAATGACAGAAAAGCAGAATCTCATTAAATACCATTACAATATCAAATACAGTCTGTTATCAAATAAACTGGAACCGTTATCAGTAGGTCTGCAGAAGGGAATCTCTGCATGAGAGGTAGAAATGGACAAAATATAGATTAAAAGCCTTTGAAAGAACACTCAGAAACAACTCACAAACTTTTGATAGTGCTCACCATGAAATGCCCTTTAATCTCCTCTAACAGATGTCACTCTATGGACTTTCCAAAGTGTCAAAATCTGACAAAGTGCTAAAATTCAGAACACACATGCTCGAAAAGAAAACAAAAACACAAATGCACCAGCTTTTCCAAAACACACTTGTAATATGGGTTTCCTCAAAAACCAAAGTATCACATTAGATCAATCTGCCTAAGCATTTGTACTGTGATTATATCACCATGCTTTCTTTGTGCTCAACACACATATGTGAAAAGATCAGTTGTGTTACTGAAGGTTCGAAAACCAGATCTACTTTGCACAAAAAAAAATAATTAATTTCACAGGATTTAAAAGTGGAACTATTTTTATTTACGTTTTTCAAAAATTTTTGCAAAATATTTTTGAAATTTCAATTCCCCATTTCCTTTTCCCTATCCCTTTATGATAATCAGTGCAATAAAATGAATGATATCAAGATTTTTAATTGGACTTTTCTTTTTCCATATCCTTTTTCCATTCTGCCTTTTCAAAGCTGCCTCAACTTTGGAAAACTTATGAAGTGACAAAAGGGAACATGAAACTGTAACGCTAGTAAATGTCACTTTTTAACCTTTCTCCAACTGTTGCAAAGTTACAGTGGCAGAGAGCGAGAGTTTAATTCTTTGTGACTTTTCCAAAAACAGGCAACCAACCACAAAACAAAGCCCTGGTTTACACTACGAGGTTAGGTTGAATTTAGCTGTGTTAGGTCGATTTTATAAGCAATGCATCTATACAACCAACCCCCTTTCCGTCGACCCAAAGGGCTCTTAAAATTGACTTCTGTACCCCTCCCCGGCGAGGGGAGTAGTGCTAAAATCAACCTTGCTGGTTCAAATGTGGGGTAGTGCAGAGGCAATTTGATGTTATTGGCCTCCAGGAGCTATCCCAGAGTGCTCCAATGTGACCACTCTGGACAGCACTTTCAACTCTGATGCACTAGCCAGGTACACAGGAAAAGCCCCAGGAAATTTTGACTTTCATTTCCTGTTTGATCAGCGTGGCGAGCTCAGCAGCACAGGTGACCATGCAATCCCTCCAGAAACGCAAACGAGCTCCAGCATGGACTGAACAGGAGACTGGATCTGACTGCTGTATGGGGAGAAGAATCTGTGCAGGCCGAACTCTGATCAAAAAGAAGAAATGCTAATATATATGCCAAAATCGCACAGGGCATGGTGGACAGAGGCTACAACAGGGACACACAGCAGTGTTGTGTGAAAGTTAAGGAGCTCAGGCAAGCCTACCAAAAGACAAAGGAGGCAAACGGTCGCTCCGGGTCAGAGCCCCATACATGCCGCTTCTATGATCAGCTGCATGGCATTCTAGGGGGGACCCTACCACTACCCCACCACTGTCCGTGGACACCTGCAAGGGGTGAGTCTCACGCAACAGGGAGGAGGATTTTGTGGATGAGGAAGAGGAGGAGGAGAATGCGCAGCAGGCAAGCGGTGAATCCGTTCTCACCAGCAGCCAGGACCCTTTCATCATCCTGGAGCCAATACCTTCCCAAGGTGGGATCCCGAACCCTGAAGCCGGAGAAGGCACCTCTGGTGAGTGCATATTTGTAACTACAGTACAGGGTTTAAAAGCAATTGTGTTTGATTTGCCCTGAAGAATTGGGATGCATTCGCGGCCAGTATAGCTACTGGAAAAGTCTATTAACGTGTCTGGGGATGGAGCGGGAATCCTCCAGGAACATCTCCATGAAGCTCTCCTGGAAGTACTCTGAAAGCCTTTGCAGAAGGTTTCTGGGGAGGGCTGCCTTAGTTCGTCCTTCACGGTAGGACACTTTACCACGCCAAGCCAGTGGAATCATTGCAGCACAAAGCATGGCAGCAAATGGTCTTGGGTTTTGGTCGCATTCAAGCAACATTCAGTCTATATCTTTCTGTGTTAGCCTCAGGAATGTGATATCATTCATGGTCACCTGGTTGAAATAGGGGAATTTTTGTAAGGGAACAGTAAAAGGACCCCGTTCATGCTGGGTTGTTTGCGCTTGGCTAAAAGGGATCATCCCTGAGAATAGCCACGTGGGGGGGTGGGGTGGAGGGAGAGGTGAAGGGATCATCCCAGAGAATAGCCACGCGGTGGGGTGGGGGGAAGTGTGTGCTGCACATCCACCCAAAAACCGCAGCCCCTCCTTTTAAATGGCAAACCCAACCATCATTGCTTGCTGTGGGAAAGGAGGGCGCTGCAGTTTGAAACCATTTCTACATGTTATGAACGCGGAAGAAGCCAACCCTGCGTACCCTTTGGTTTACCATGGCTGCCTGGAAACCGAATTCTGTTGCCCAGCCGTGTGCGATGTGTCACCGTGCTCAATATAAAAGGCAAAATGCGACCTTGTACCTAAAGCACGTGCTGTCTGATGTGAATTGTGAAAGAGTCTCCCTTTTGTTCTCAGAAATGCATCATCTTAAATTATACTCTCCTTTTTATCCCCCCGCAGGTGCAAATGTTTCTATGCTCCCCCTATCATCTCCATCCCTGAGATTATCGCCGATTAGAAGGTGAAAAAAACGCATTCGCGATGACATGTTTTCCGTGCTCATGCAGTCCTCCCGCACTGATAGGGCACAGCTGAATGCATGGAGGCATTCAGCGGCAGCGGCCAGGAAAGCATTAAGTGAAGCCGATGCAAAGACGCAGGGGGCAATGCTGAGGCTAATGGGGGAGCAAACGGACACAATAAGGCATCTGGTGGAGCTGCAGGAAAGCCAACAAGAGCACAGATTGCTGCTGCATCCACTGTATAACCACCTGCCCTCCTCCCCAAGTTCCATATCCTCCTCACCCAGATGTGCAAGAACGCGTGTGTGTGTGTGTGTGTGTGTGTGTTCTGGGCACCCAGCCACTCCACTCCAGAGGATGGCCCAAACAACAGAAGGCTGTCACTCGAACAGTTTTTATTTGTAGTGTGGCTACAATAAGCAATGTGGCCTTGTCCTTCCCTCTTCCCCCACCTCACCTGGGCTACCTTGTCAGTTATCTCACTTTTTTTTTAATTAATAAAGAAAGACTGCATAGTTTAAAAACAATAGTGACTTTATTTCGTTTGCCAACTCTGATTGAAGGGAGGAGGGTGGTTGGCTTACAGGGAATTAAAATCAACAAAGGGGGTGGGTTTGCATCAAGGAGAAACACACACAACTGTCACACCATAGCCTGGCTAGTCATGAAACTGGTTTTCAAAGCCTCTCTGATGCGCAGCACACCTAGCTGTGCTCTTCTAATCACCCTGGTGTCTGGCTGCTCAAAATCAGCCGCCAGGCGATTTGCCTCAACCTACCACCCCGCCATAAACATCTCCCCCTTACTCTCACAGATATTATGGAGCACATAGCAAGCAGCAATAACAATGGGAATATTGGTTGCACTGAGGTCTAACCTAGTCAGCAAGCAGCGCCAGCGAGCTTTAAAATGTCCAAAGGCACATTCTACCACCATTCTGCACTTGCTCAGCTTATAGTTGAACTGCTCCTTACTACTGTCCAGGCTGCCTGTGTACAGCTTCATGAGCCATGGGAGCAAGGGGTAGGCTGGGTCCTCCAGGATAACTATTGGCATTTCAACATCCCCAACGGTAACTTTCTGATCTGGGAAGTAAGTCCCTTCTTGCAGGTGCTCGAACAGCGAGCGTCATGCACTTTTCCCAGCTATCCCATGTTGATGTCGGTGAAACGTCCCTTGTGATTCACAAGTGCTTGCAGCACCATTGAGAAGTACCCCTTGCGGTTTATGTACTGGTTGGCAAGGTGGTCCGGTGCCAAGATAGGGATATGCGTTCTGTCTATTGCCCCACCACAGGTAGGGAACCCCATTGCAGCAAAGCCATCCACTATGATCTGCACATTTCCCAGAGTCACTACCCTTGCTAGCAGCAGGTCGGTGATTGCACTGGCTACTTGGATCACAACAGTCCGCACAGTAGATTTGTCCACTCCAAATTGATTCCCGACTGACTGGTAGCAGTCAGGCGTTGCAAACTTCCACAGGGCTATCACCACTCACTTCTCAACTGTCAGGGCAGCTTTCATCTTGGTATTCCTGCACTTCAGGGTGGGGGAAAGCAACTCACAAAGTTCCAGGAAAGTGGCCTTACGCATGTGAAAGTTTCAAAGCCACTGGGAATCATCCCATACCTGCAACACTATGTGGTCCCACCAGTCTGTGCTTGTTTGCCAGGCCCAGAATCGGAGTTCCACTGTATCAACCTGCCCCACTGCCCCAATTGCCACATCCCATGCTTTCAGGAACATCTGTGTCCATGTCCTCCTCACAATCGTCCTCGTGCTGGTGTCTCCCAGGTTCTGCACATACTGCAGGATAATGCGCAAAGTGTTTACAATGCTCACAACAGCAGCGGTGAGCTGAGCGGGCTCCGTGTTTGCCGTGCTATGGCATCTGCATGGGTAACCCAGGAAAAAAGGCGCGAAATGATTGTCTGCCGTTGCTTTCATGGAGGGAGGGGAGACTGATGCCATATACCCAAAACCACCCACGACAATGTTTTTGCCCCATCAGGCATTGGGAGCTTAACTGAGAATTCCAATTGGCAGCAGAGACTGCGGGAACTGTGGGATAGCTACCCACAGTGCACTGCTCCATGAGTCAATGCTAGCCATGGTATTGAGGATGCATTCCGCCGACTTAATGTGCTTAGTGGGGACATACACAATCGACTGTATAAAATTGCTTTCTAAAGATCGACTTTTATAAAATCAACCTAATTTCGTAGTGTAGACATATCCAAAGACAAAACCAACATTCCCCTTCTCCCCCCAACAAGCAACAAACATCCAAAAATAAAATAAAAAGACTTCTTAGTCCTGAGTCATTTTATTGCATTCAGTGGTAGAAAGGAAAAAAGTGAAAAATTTTCACACCATTTTTTGATTTGAAAAAAGGGCCACAATTTTAGAACAAAAATTCTCTCCCTCCTTCTAGGCAGCTTCCTGAATTGAATCATCCTCTAGTAAAAGCCTGTTTGGAAGAGTCCCTCAGTGCTTAAGATCGATTGATCAATTTATCTATACCTGCACATGTAAACCAAGGGTACGTTTTCACTACCCACTGTATCATCGGGTAGTGATCGATTTATCGGGGATCGATATATCGCGTCTCGTTAAGATGCAATATATCGATCCCCGAACATGCTCCCCATCGACTCCGGAACTCCACCGGAGCGAGCAGCGGTAGCAGAGTTGACGGGGGAGCCGCGGCCGTCGATCCCGCACCGTGTGGACCCCAGGTAAGTTGATCTAAGATACTTCGACTTCAGCTACGTTATTCACATAGCTGAAGTTGCGTATCTTAGATCGATCCCCCCCACTAGTGTAGACCAGCCCTAAGAGGCTTTAATCTTACCTGCCAGAACTCAGGCACCTTGGACTTCAAAACTGAGTTATAAAGTTCTTCTAACCCTGTAGTGAAGATAATCTCTCCTTTCATAGCTCGTTGAAGTGAATGCAATGATATGGTTATTACAGACAATAAATGATTAAATCGGTCAATCTCCTGGCGAAGAACAGTTAACAAAGCTGAATTGATAAAAGGATCATGTCCTGGTAAAGGAAAAAGGAGTAATATCAGATGGAGCTTTCCTCCCATAGAGAAGTGAGGAGGAGCTGCTCATTATCATGACATTCAAGTTTTGCAAATATTAGTTTCTCTCCTATGCTGAATTAGGGACAAGCCACTTTGCACCATATGAAGTAGTGGGAGAGAACTTTATCATTAACTTCATCAAAAGTCTTCTATCAGCCAACTGCAGGTTTGAAGTAAGATGCATAAATGACACTCAGAATGTCTGAGACATTTTTTTGTCTCAATGCTTTCTGATCCTCACTTAAATGAGGCAGGGAAATGGAAGATCAAGGTAATTTACTTCTCTTTTTCAGCAAAGAAGGAAAACATCCTTTCCCTGTGTATTCACTTTTGTGAATGTGGCTTCCACAGTACACAGTATCTGCAACATTGTCTGAGACCAGCAGGCTCAACACATTAGAGCAACAAGTGAATGTCAAATGTGCGAATTTCCAAGTTTATAGAAGTTCTCAAATCTAGCAGCATAATCTTCTGAGAGGAATTTGCTTTTCTTTCAGATTTTGAATTTCTCTTAACTATTAATAGTGCAAATCCTGAAATCTTTGCTCAACACTTTACTTGGACAAGACTACAACTGAAATTACTGGGAAGTCTGCCCGATTAAGGCGTAAATATGGACTTCAGGTTTTGAGCCTTTAAAAAAAATATTATTCTCGTTTTTAAAAATATGGATAAAATTATGAATATAGTCTAATAGCAACAGATTTAGAATTTATTTACTGTTACATTTTCTATTTTGTTACACTCTTTCAGCCAAATCATTGCAGCAGATCAATGAGGTGGAGCTCAGATAAATTTGAAATTCTTTGGTACTGAAACATAAATGTGGACCCAGGGGATTCTCAAATATGCCAATGAGTATTTTAAACTACAACTGTATTTTCTTTTGAGATTTCACATGCATGTACACATGAATCTAGAGCTAGATATGAGTCAGCCTTTGGTTAAAGCACTGACCAAATGTTTGAGCAATATAGATTAGAAAATTCCTCCACAGATTAACATTAAAGACAGGAAAGAATTCTCAGTGTTTTTGGCATCCTATTGCACATCAAAGGCTAGAAAAAATGGACAAAGTCATAGTTAGATGTCTCCCTTATATTATACATTAGCCCAAAGTAAGATAATATCCTAAAATTTGTTCAAGAGCATAACTGGTATAGCTATAGTGAGTTGCTGATCCACGTAACATAGGCTTATTCAACTAATGTCTCTGTAGGACTTTTTAGTTACAAGAAAGTTGATTTAACATTTCATCAGAGCTTGGGAAGAATGGTTACTTACCTTGCACTAAGTGTGGTTTTGCAAGATATGCTGTCCACACGTGCCCAATATGTGCAGAAACTGAGGGTGGTGTGGGAGATCTAAGCCTCTCCCTATATGGGCTCAGAGGTACTGTCTCCTGTATGCCCCCCATGGGTCCCAGTAGAGTCACTGAGTGGGGGATGGCATAAGCGGTCGCATCCATTGTGGGAGCATACCAGGTCTGGGTGTCAGCCCTGTGGTGGATTTTAGGCTGTATTGGTGGACCCAGCACTGTAGTAGATTGAATAGAAAAGGAGTGCTGAGATGAGAAGACACCCTCCTCCTCAGTATCTTCTTTCTCGCTGGAGAATGGAGGGGCCACAGGTGAAGTGAGCTGACGCGGTGCCATGTGTGCCAGGGAAACACTGGTGCCAAAAAGACATGATTCAGGTGTCGATGAGACATGCAGGTCTGCCTGATGTAAGAAGAAGTGTGCTTCCGATGGTTTCAGTACCAAGGTGGTCAGTGCCAACGGTGCTGTTGTAGTCGCGGTTGTCAGTGCTGGCCTCTGTGAGCTCTGCGTTGTCGGGACAGGAGGTGGCACCAGAACTTGGGCAGACTGTATTGGTGCCACATCTTGTGGCAGCTCTGTTGGTGCCATAGAGGAGGAGGTAGGTTTCTGTTTTCCCCTTGACTCCAAGGCTGCCCACTTAGGGTCACTGGCTTTCACGGTATGCATGGCACCAGTTGAGCCCAGTGCCTCATAAGTACTCAGTTGGACTGGGGAGTGCATCTTTTTTGGCAGCTCTTTCAGAGAAGTCAAAGCCCTTTTCCTCACTGCCTTTTTGGAGAAGTGAGCCTTCCACTGTGAACTGGGTGAAGTTGCTGGGGAACACTGTCTGGGCGGGGAGGGAGTTTGTGGACCTGGATCAGATGCTGGGCACAGAGACTTCTCCATTAACAGAAGTTTGAGACATAGGTCTCTATCCTTTCTGTTGCGAGGTTTCAGGTTAATGTAGTGAGAGCAATTTTGAGTAACGTGTGTCTCCCCTAGGCATCAGACACACTGAGAGTGTCTGTCTGAAACCGGGTCACCTCTCAGCAGGAAAGGCAGCGCTTGAAACCCGGTGAACCGGGCATGGCTCGAGTTATCATGGTTCAACCCTAACTGTGAACTCTAATAAGCTAAAAGAACAGGAGTACTTGTGGCACCTTAGAGACTAACAAATGTATTAGTCTCTAAGGTGCCACAAGTACTCCTGTTCTTTTTGCGGATACAGACTAACACGGCTGCTATTTCTGAAATCTAATAAGCTAAAGGGGTATTCAAACTCAGAGTGAAAAGGAAAAGGAAAAAATAAACAGGGAGAAAGAGATAAGTAAACTAACTAGGGTGCTAAAGACTACTCGAAAATCTAAGTATAGCTATCAGTTTTAACACTGCTGGGAGCTCCATTTCAGGCTGAGGACAGTTGAGAAGGAACTGAGGGGGGTCTGGTCGCATAGTGCTAGATAGGCACCAACAATGGCGCAAGATGGGGAGAGTGCATGCGTGACCCAGATGAGAACGGCTGCTGAAATTCTCCAATCAAAGGCACAGGGATGCACCAACACCTGAAATGGAGCACCACAGGGACACTCCTCAAAGAAGAACCCCTGAATTTGTCCTGAGAACCTGTGAAAGGTGGATTAAACATCAGGGAACAAGGGGAAATCTGGGAGGATAACAAAATGGAAGGTTCTTTGAGAATACCTGCCCTCTTTCTATGTCCTTTAATAGAGTCATTTCTGGAGGTTCTGCTGGATTCCTGTGGCGCCACCCAGGGTGGAGAGTGGGGGCAGGAAGGAGAGAAATCTCTGTTGTGATCTGGAGAGGACAACGAAAATAGCAAACCTCCTCCGGGGTGGAGCAATCCTCTCTGGGGTATAGGTCTACACAAAGGTACCAGGTTGGATGCAGGCAGAGACACAGGCTGCTTGGAGATGACATCTCTTAAGTACTCCAATAGAGGAGACTCCGGTACCCAATCTACAGGTTGACGGGCCAGTACCGTGAAAGCTTCAATGCGAGAATCTAGAGCACCAAAACATCTGGTGCTGAAAATGTCTGTTGGTAATGAGGAGGTTGTGAGTGGTACCAGGGATGAGGTGCCAAAGGTTTCAGTGCTGAAGATGCTGTTAGAACATATGGCACCTGAACTGTACCAGGGGCAGCATGGTCCTTAGGAGTGTTTGGTGTCACTTTGCTCTTCTGTGCCAGGGCATCAGAATGGGACTCTGAATTGCAACTTTTGGTAGATGAGATTCAAGGAGAAGTTTTAAGTTTCTTACTTGGGGTTGGTGAGGGCTCCATAGGTAGGGGGCATGTTGTGAATGAGGAGAGAAACTGTGATAGAATGTTAAAAACAGAGAAGGAATATTTTAAAATAAAACATTAATTTGTGAAAATAAAAGTTTCTTTCTAATTAAACATTATGTAAACCGTTGTTCTGACCTTTAGTCGCTTTTGCAAGAGCAGCCCAAATGGGGCCTGACAGTAAGCTTCCCAGTGTGATTTTCATTTTGGAGGAATGTTCAGTTCCAGGTGTCAGTTCTGTATCTTGTTCCTCTACAGTGAGTGGCAGCTGTCTTAGAATGTCAGAAGCTATTTCCAGTACTAATTCATCTGGGCTCTTTCCACCACTGGAAGGGGGGGAAAAAAAGGGTAAGACTTATAATTCTGGAATTGTCAGAGCTGGAGGGCTCCAAAAGGAGATGATCTAATCTCCCCACTTCCACTTGTGGTTTATGGGCATATTCTAATATTTCTAGACCATCTCTAGCAGGTTTCTATAGTTAGATAAGTGGATATGTACGAAGAGTTAGGTTGTGGGGGATATTCCAAAAGAATGGTCCTTTCAACATGACACCGGGGAAGAGTCAATGATTTATCCAGTAAGGCAGATTCCTGACAAAGCAGTACAAGTATCTGGAATTACAGATAAATAGCCATTTCACTAAGCAAGTTAGTTACATGGACATTTGATCATTTTCCTAGTGGTTGTTTTATGGGAGCTAGAATATATTTGACTTGCACAATACACAAAGAACAGAATACTGTACCCATATATCAGAAACAGATCAGCCGAGAGTTGAAATTTAGGTTACAATGATGCCAGTAAATCTAAAATACGGCCAGGAAGATACTCATTTTCTTTTCTAGACAAGGTCTCTTTTACTATGCAGCAGATTAGATTTAAATTATGTGGCAAGACCTCTGGAATTATGCAGTAATACTCAACCCTGAAGAGAACACAACTCCACCAAATAAAACACTGAAGGAAGAATTAGAGAACCAGAAAAGGAGAGAATCATGACAGCCAAAGGAGGAAAAGACTTCAGGAAGAATAGCATAGTTGACTATGTTAAAGGCAGCCAAGAACTTAAGGAGGATGAGAATATTTAAATGTACAGGCCCTGGGATTTGTCCACGAATAGGTCATTAGAGACTTTGGTGAGAGCAATTTCAGTGAAGTATACAGGTCAGAATCCAGACTGCAGAGGGTCTAGGGATGGAACTGGAAGAGACTAAATCCATACAGCATGAGGCATTCAATGAGTTTGAGATGAAGGAGAGAAGGAAGAATAATCAATAGTTGCACAAGCAACATGAGATCAAGGGTGGGTTTTTAAGACTGAGGAGACTAAAGTCTGTTTATATTGTGAGGGGCTTATGTTGGTGTAGTTAGGGCAATGAAGTGTCTGTGTAGATACTATGTTACCTACATTAGCTGTTGGCTGCCTTGTCAATTTCACGGCTCCACTGGAGCTGTGAAATTGACAAGAAAGTCCAGCTTTCCAGCTGGGCTGCTACCAGGTCTCCGCTCCAAGCCAGTCTGCCACCCAGACTCCTGGCTTGGGCTGCCACCTGAGCTCCCGTCTGGGAACCCTGCTGCGCCCCACCAGGTCCCAGCTCCCCACTGGGAGGCCAACTGCACCAAGACTCCTGGCTGTGAGCCCGGCTGCCCCCCATGGCTCTTGGCTCCCCACTGGGAACATGGCAGCCAGCCGGACTCCAGGCATGGATCTTCCTCCCGGGAATCTGGCTGCCCCCCATGCTCTCAGTTCCCCTCTGGAAGCATGGCACCTGACCAGACTCCAGGTGCAGATCTCCCTGCCAGAGGTGAGAAGCCCCGGGGGGCAGCTGGGCTCCTGGCGGTTTGCTACGTGGAGCTGTGACCCCTGGCTCTCAGTCCCCCACACTGCCCCTCTTCAGTCGGTGGAAGCACTCCTGGTGAGAACGCACACCACCGACAGAAGGAGGGCAGTGTGGACATCAGCTACCGCAGTAATTACTGAGGTGGCTGTAAGTCGACCTAACATAGGTCGACTTAAGATTGTAGTGTAGACATGCCCTAAGCACTGGTCTACACTAGGAAATAGGTTGGCATAACTATGTTGCTTAGGGGTCTGAAAAATCCACACCCCTGAGCGAAGCAGTAAAATGAGTCTAACTCCCGTTTTAGACAGTGCTAGGTTGACAGGAGAATTCTCCCATTGACCTAGCCGCTACCTCTTGGGGAGCTGGATTATCTACACTGACAGGAGAAGCCCTCCCTTTGACATAGATAGTGTCTTCACTGAAGGACTGCAGTGGCGGCACAGATGTGCTTGTGCAGTGTTTTAAGTGTAGACAAGTCCTGAGTACCTCTCCCAGACCTGAAGAAGAGTTCTGTGGAGCTCAAAAGCTTGTCTCTCTTACCAACAGAAGTCGGTCCAATAAAAAAATATTACCTTACTCCCCTTGTTTTACTCATTCAATAAATCAGAGTTAAGTATATGCAAATAAGCTTTAAAATTGTGGGCAAGCCTAACAAATAACTTCCGAACTCTTTTAGGTAATAGATTCTGCTTTGTTCTGTCACCAAAACAGTTTCTTTTTAAAACACTGACCTGATGATCAGGGTGTCCATGCTGATTCCTGGCTGCATACTGACAATGGTATCAATAAAGGTTTGTGCCTGAGATTCCAGGAATGCTCTTCCAGCACAGGCGTGCATTCCAAATAGCTCTGGTGAATCAGTGTCTGGCAGAGACTCTAAATAGGCTCTACAGTCTTGTAAGCTATCTGTGGCAGATACGGGTCGATATACCTGCAAAATAAATGACAAACATTTTATTTCCCTTCTTAATGAAAGGCTGGTTAGTGCAAAAAAGGTTACACATAAGTAACTTTTCTTCAAGGTTGCTTATATGGTCCCAACAGGGACTGCTTTTCTAAAAGATTCCTGAAAGTCAGTGGTGCCTGATATTCCTTACAGGTGGGAATAGACACAAAGCCAATTTGAAGAAGAATGGAATTATATTGCAAATAACAGCTCAAGCAGGAGGGTATCTGACTAACACATGCATTTATACATGTGTTGGTGGTGGTGGGATTCTTTTGTGAGTGCAAATCATTCTGTACTGTTTATATAAAAATAGCATATATCCCTTCCCCCATCCTTCTCTCTATATGTATATGCATGCATGCACGCATAAATGTACACAAATACACACAAAGGAATAAACAGCATAATTTATTCATAAGGTTTATATATGGGCCAAAATATCATCTATTAATATAAAAGAAATCAATTCACCTTCCTTTAAAATAACAAAAAAGGAACAAGAAGAGATGGAAAGAATTCAGTATTCTCCTCCTTCCACAAGCACTGTAAACGTATGTCAACTTACAGGTGTTTTTGCTTTTTATATATATGTTAGTTATTTTTAAGAAAACTGTTTAAATTAATGCTGTCACTGTGTTGTTCAGATAGTTCTAAGCTAATAATTCAATTGTTTCTGCATCACAGTTAACTTTCCTGATTTTTCCTAGAGGTTGCAGATGTGCTTTTTCATAACAGAATATTCCCCTGCCTGACCACCTCAGATCTTTCTCCTAGCCCGCAGAGTCCAGAAATACAAAGCACTCTGAGGCAGAGAGGAAGCAGTGTGAATGAACTCAGGCAATACTTGAAGAACAACAGTTACAAGTAACCAATCCTTCTTTCTTCTTTGAGGGCTTCTGTGCATTCCACCTTACAGGAGATTAGCAAGCAATGCTCCCATCAGAGGATGGTAGATGAGGAATTCTAGGCAAAAATGAACTGTAGTACCAGCTTACCAAACCAAGCAATGGGACACAATGCCAAATCCAACAAATAGTGCTAAGTAAAAGTTTGAACCGAACTCCATGTTGCTGCTTTGCAAATCGCTACACAGGATCCTATCTCAGACAATCTATAGAGGCAGTAGTAAAAGTCCTGGAGTGCACTGTAGCAGTGTCCACGTGGCGAGTTAGCATGCAGCAAGCTGACTTGCCAGGCACTAAGTCACTGTGTAGTAATGCTCAGAATGTGTCTTTAAGCCAAGAGATACTGGTCGCATCCTTTGGTACTACAATGAATGTGAGCCTATATGTAGTGTTTTCATATTTGATGCTAGAAATGCACTTCTCCTCCACTAGTATGTTTATTTCAGACTAACCAGTTACTTTTATTTTTGTTGGTCCCAGTTTTGGTCTTATTTTCAGTCTCTCATAATCTTGTCAGACAGAATATTAACCTGCTCTTCCGTGTCCAGGTTGAGTAGAATAATGGTTTCATTCACTGTCATTGGCAGTCCCTCTCATCAGTTTTGCTTGATTCCAGCACACCTATGTAAAACTCCACAACCAGGTTGTCTTCAACTACATGTTCTTGACTTTTCTACATTTGGAATCTGCAGCATTTATGATAGAGCTTCCAAAGGCAAAACACCGTTTGGGGCCATGCTGTGATCCACACTTTCCTCATAATCTGTATTCACTCTCGACCCAGCAGTTGCTTTCATAGTGGGTAGTTGCACTTTTTGATCTGACCTTTTCTGGCTATATTCTTTTGTATTTAGTGTGTGAATAACCCCTTCTAGTGAATTCAGCTCTTTGGCCTGTGCTTTCAGTTTCTGCTGCTTTGCATATATGGAGAGATTTTTCTGAAGTTAAATCTCCTTCATGGAGCCGTCTCTCTCTTAAAACATTGTCTTTAATGCTATCTTTGACCAGAGTCTCTGTCAGCTCACCAAAGTCACAGGTCTCACTAAGCCTCCTTAATTCTGTGACACATTGCTCTATTCTATCATCAGTTTTTTTGTGTACATGTAAAAAATGCCTCTCTCAAAGGTCTCATTCACAGGTGCCAACTTTCTAAAGTGCCAGTGGGTGCTGGACCCCCAGCTCTGCCCTAGGACCTGCCTCCACTCCACCTCTTCCCCCAAGGCCACACCCATGCTCTGCCTCTTCCCGACCCTGCTCCACCCCCACCCCGCCTCTTCCTGCCTAGTTCCATCTCCTTCCTCCAATGCGCCATGTCCTTGCTCCTCCCCCTCCCCAGCCTCCTGCATGCCACGAAACAGCTGATTGCAGCGGGTGGAAGGAGCGGGGAGGGAGGGGGAGGCACTGATCTGCGGGGCCTGCCAGCAGGCAGGAGATGCTGACGGAGGTGGGGAGGAGCTAATAGCGGAGCTGTAGATGGATGCTCAGCACCCACTATTTTTTCCCCGTGGGTGCTCCAGTCCTGGAGCTGGCACCTAAGGTTTCATTCTTCAAATTTGGTCAGCATTTTACTTAACTTCATGCTTTCACCTTCTTCAAACTTAAAGTTGTTACAAATATCCAATCCTTCCTCCCCAACAATATGCAAAAAGACAGATGATTTCACTTTATCACTTTTCATCTCTGCCCCTATACAATTCAAATCTCTTTCCGAATTTTTTTCAGTGCTCTGCAACATTGCCTGACAATTGCAGACTGGATGGAGTTTGCAACATATCCATTTTTGGCTTTCTTCTCTTCTTAAATGTATCAAACTACTATTGTGTTCATAAAATACGTACAAAAGCCTTTGTTGTTCTTTGTTTGTTGCTCCACGTGCTCCTCTTTCCTGTTATCAGTTTCAAACACAGAATTAACCTAAAAATTACTGCAGTCTCTTTCTCATTTGGCATTTCTGACATGATATAATGATCTTGGGGGTCATTAAATAACAAGCCACTGAATGAGAAAGGCATAAACTTTTAGTAGAAAACTTGGGAGCGTCCATGGTACACACATACCCTGTGTTCTCCATCCCTGCCACCAGGGCATGTCCCAAAATTCCTATATTCATAATGCTGTCATGAGGGAGCTTCTCTAAATTATTATCTTTAACAAACATCTCTCTGCAATGAGGAGATCTGGAAGCTTGTCTTTTATTTGTAGTGTCAGTGTCTATTCTAAGAACACCAAGGCAGTTTTCAGTGCCAATGCTGATACCAGTGTAGACTGCACTGCCGGAGCAGTCTGTTTTGACAGAGCCTGTGGTGATGAGATGCTGGGCAGGAAGCTCAGCCCCAGCAGATATATGTCTTGGGGAGATTGATGTTTGGCCTAGTATTGTGTGCAGCACCAAGGCTGAGGCAATGGGATATTTAATGGAAGCCCTCGGCAGAAGAGGCAGACTTTGAAATTTCCGAAGGACTGCTAGGACAGTCCGGATTAAAGCTTAAGGAAGCCCAGGGCACCTGCACCATCTGTCGTTCATTGTCCAATTATTGAAGGCATGCCAAATTATGCACTGTGACACTACATGAGCCTCTCCTTGGCACACTAGACACTGAACATGTGTGTCAGTCTCAGGAATGAGGACTGAGCGGTTTGCATACTTTCTGAATCCCCTACCAAGTTTGGGACCTGACATTGCCTTGGGAATAATCCAAGGCAAATTACCCCAACCATTCACTCTCTAAATAACCAATAATAGAAGAAAACAGGCTAACTATCTTGCAGACACAACAGATAGTTCCATTTAGCTCTTGGCGACTAAGGAACTGAGATGGTCAGGGGGATGCACTCCCTTATGTTGATGGAGCTGATGATATCCTAGCACAAGAGTGCTCCTGCACTCCCTAATGGACATAACTCTTTCCTATCATTCTGCAGCTCCATGCTAGAGGTGCAAAATCTCCTAAATGGGAATTCACAGAAGCCCATGAAGAATCAATTTTTTTAAAAAAAATTCTACATTGGTTTTGCTATAAACAGGCTTTAATTTAATCTCTACTCACAATAAATTCCCATGTTCCTCAGGGGTAACTGTTTCTGAGTTAGTGCCTGTATCCCTGCTTAGCTAGAGGGTCTTAAAAGGATCAGATGCCATTTCATATCCTGGTGCATCTATTTGACTACTAAATGGAGACATTATAATGTATTTTAAAGTGTGATTGTAATCTCACTACCACATTGTGCCATTTTTCAATACCCCTTTGTAGTTAAACATCATTCCACATGATTTTTAAAAAAAACGAGGGGGGTCATTTTGTTATTGGTACCACAGCAAAACAGGACCTAGGAGCTAACAGTGCAAATAAATCCTTCTGTTGCCCATTTCCAGAAGTTTGCCACTAAATCAGTCACATGCAACTACATAAAACGACAGGGGTGCTTTTTGACCATAGAGATGCACCTTGAGCTCTTATTTTATTTACAAAAAATCATACAAGTATGGTAATCAAAGTGTACCACTGTAATTCAGATCTACGCAGCTAAGTATACTATATTTCACCAACTGTTTCCCAAAAATACATACAGATGCATGTATATAATCTGAATGACGAGAGCCTTCTGTGCCATAATAAAGTTTAACATTTAATTGCCATTCAAAATTTAGATTTGGACGCCCATAATCTGAAGTTCAGTAATTTATAAGGCTGAAAATATTTTAAATATGCAATATAAAAGTACAACTTATTACAACACCTGAGAATAGTGAGAGAAAAAATATTTTTCCTACCCCGTCACTAGAGTAAGCGAAACCCTCCTGCAGTACAACAGGGCTATAGAAATTGTTCAGAATGCTGAGCAAGCAACGACGGTCCCAGTGGTCAGTCACACGACCTCCATAAGCTATCTCTCCAGTAAGATAACATATTGCTTGCCAAGGAATCTGTTCTTGGTTTGCCAGAAGCATCCCCAACATCTGTATGGAAACCTTTGGAGGAAAAGATTGAAGTTAAGCATTAGTATTGTTACTTTAACTTGACTCTTGTGGTTATGATATCATAGAATCTCAGGGTTGGAAGGGATCTCAGGAGGTCATCTAATCCAACCCCCTGCTCAAAGCAGGACCAATCCCCAACTAAATTAGGGTTACCATATGTCCGTTTTTTCCCGGACATGTCCGGCTTTTCGGCAATCAAACCCCCGTCCGGGGGGAATTGCCAAAAAGCCAAACATGTCCGGGAAAATGCCGGCCGGGCACTTCCCTGCCGCGGCTGCTCTGCTCCTCCCCTGACTCTTCGGCTCTGTTTAAGAGCCGAGCTGCCCGAGCGCTATGGGCTTCAGACAGCCCCCTTGCCTCCGGACCCCAGCTGCCGGCCGGGCACTTCCCCTCCAGGGCTCCGGCGGCGCAGGGTCCGGAGG